TATACTTATGTATCATTATTATAATGTATGTGTAAATCTACTATAATATTATTATTGTACATGTATTATTATTATTGCATCTATATACATCTATTCATTGGTAATAACATAAAGTGATTATCAAAAACACATCAAACCAACAAATATTATGGGTCAAAGGACATAGGTAGTACATTTCTGACTCTCCAGTTTCGCTATTATTAGCCATGCTGCTGTAGGGAGTTGAAAATCCTAGTCAGATGATATTGCACTTCTTACTTATTATTTATGTATAACTTCATTGTTTAACTGACAGAAGTTGTGCAGGCACAGATTACCATTGGTAACTCATTGATGTTAAAGTCAATAGCCCTCTTGAGAGAGTAAAACCACACCATCAGACACACAAATGAGCACTCTGTTTTATTTCGTCGGCTTCAAAGTTTATAGCCAATGTATTACTGTCTTGGTGTTGCACCACCTGAAGTGTAATCCTTCATGATGTACGGCATAAGTGGATATGCTGGATCTCTTAACAAGTATACCAGTACTGGAATCTCTCCATTGATAATTCATCATTTACGTGGAAGTATCGTCTTGTCTTTGAGCCTTTGATTCAATTTTGAATTTGCAAACATTTGAGCTTCATGGATGCTTCTAGGCCAATTTTCCACAACATCTGTACAGCAATAGCAGTTATCGCAATAGGCTTAAACATTTAAACTGTAACATTATTTTCTGTTTATATAGTCAGGAAGCTTTAAATCAGGCTTTTGATTTCTGTCTGCGTCGCATCTACTGATGCAAAGCATTGAAAGATAAGAACCCAGTCACGGTCAATAACGCATTAATGCAACCTGGGGTGGGTCTTGGAAAGTGTCAGTAACGCATTAAGGCATCAAAATGTATACTCGAGTGTATACTGCTGCTTCAAAATTTATAAAATAGCCTACTGTACAAAGTAAAGGTATTGCAGGATATATCAAACATTATATATTTGTAGCTTTGGTAAGTTAAGAGGAAGAAACGATTTGTCGTACTTTTAACTGCGAAAGAAGCCTAATATCTCACTCACACTTGATGCACTCAAAGAATAGGTAGCAGATCCTTGCTCCATGATGTCAGAGGAGTCCAAAGAGCTATTCAAAGTAGCTACAAAGTTTAGGAATCACATAAAAAAAGATGAAACTGTTCAACCTTTCTTCCGCTGTACAAGCCAATGGAGAAATGAAGTGAGCATGGTCTAGAAGCAACTCAAAGAGATTTTTCCCATTTTCTTGCTACCATTTGGAGTAAAAGCTTGTTACCTATAGGATAACTGAA